GCCAAGAAATATGAAATCAATACCCAAATCAGCTGTGAAATTCTGCAAGTGAGAACTAACCCAGATAAAATGGGGACTTTTTTTCTTAGGTTAACGATAAGGAAAGAAAAGAAATAAGGACCTGTGAAAATATTCCCATAGCTCTCGCAATAAATACAAGTAACAATACAGTATCAAAACTTGGGACTGCACCAGCAGAATTATCTTCCTTTCTGAAGTTATCATTGATTCTGAAGCGTAACAGAGGACATAACCAGCAGAGACATACCAGAAGACAGTATCATGCATAGATGACATACAGAGTGTTTCAAGCATAGCTCAGAAGTCCTATACATAATCCTGGCAACATGCTGCATAATCCTTATACTTTCAGTAACAGGTGATGCTTTTTTATGAAAAGCAGCCATTCCCACCCCAAAACACCCCAGCTATCAGTCCCTACCTACCCAAGGGTCCTATTTTCATCCAGCTGCCCCCTCCCCTGCATTCCCCCTTCCCCTAAGAGTGCATGAATAGAGAATTGCAAACATTTCACACTGCACGTTCCACTCCAAGTCCTGGATGAGGGGCCTGTTTATTCTATGAATATTGCACTTATCCACTCATTGGATTTGTTTTTTCTCAAGAATGCAGAGTATTTGGGAAAAAATAGAAAAAAATAGTAGGATACAACACAGGAAAATATGAGTTATTAACAAGCTAGCTATGAAGATCTAAAATTAAATAGTACTAGTTCTATTCTGTTAATACTAGTAATATGAAAATAATGAATGCTTTATCAAATTCCCTTGTTTTTCATATAAGATAAAAGCAGTAACTTTCTTTTTAACTGAGGAAAGCAATGAATATATATTACAATAAAATATGATTCATTAAGATCTGAAAGTGATGAAAACAATTATATAATGCCTTCGTCAAACTTTATAGCATCATAACGGAAGGAGTCTTTGGGGTATGTATCCACAAGGGCCAAATCAATTTTTTGGCTATACCCGTGCAGACATGAAATTCCTTTTTCAAGAGTCTAACTGTGAGCCAATTTCAATCCTTCATTATTGTCTGTTTGCTATTTTTGTACACCTCGATTTAAAAACTTCCTGTTTAGACACATCAGTTAAGTATCCCGACACACACCCATTGCATCTTTTATCTTGAAAAGTTTGGCTTGAAAAGGACTGGTAGGTATGACTACACCCACCCACTGCAAGGCGTGAGAGCTAAAACAATTAACAGGAATTGCCTCCCACGGGGAAGGGCTGCTAACAAAAACGTATTACTCTTGCTCTTATGAGAAAGTGTTTTGAAAGGGGAGACAAGGGAAACCAGCAATTAAAATTTTCAGGCATTATATAAACCTCAATAACGAACTCAGAAGTGCTCATTATTATTAAAGTTGCAGTATACAGTAAGACACAATTTTCACATTCTTAAATTTTGTTCTCTGGCATTGGAGTTAGGATTTTCTGCTGGTCCAAATTCAAGACTTTTTGGAAAGCACGGACAGCGGGTGAGAGCAATGCGGTGACAGCAGCCGCCTCTCCCCCCGGAGGAGGGCCCCCTTCAGCTGCAAATGGCTTTGCCCAAGCCTTGCAGAGCTCTTCCTCTTAATCTGGTTCAAGAATAAACCAGAAAAAGAGAAATTTAAACAGTACTATTGATTTCTGCATTGAGTGTTCACTGAGGTGTACGTTACATTTAAGTATTGCTCTTGATCCAGTGTCAGTTCTGACAAATTTAGTAAATAAAGCTTAAGGCAACATTAACATTTTAGAAAAGAGCTAAAACACTTCTAGCACTACACTGTCCTCTGAGGCACCCTGCCAGGTTTTCCTGCCCTGCAGTCAGCTTTTCTGATTTAGCTTAAGGCCTTTCGCTCTGTTTCACGGCTAACAGTGGAAAGGGCTTGCTATTTCAGGTATCAGTGGAGCTGACCAAAACTAGCTGCTCACCAATGGAAAAAATACTTCTTTTCCCAGTATCTCTCAGTTGAAAGAATCAAAAAAGAGATCAGTGAGAGATGCTGTGACAATGGTAAGATGGGAGGGGGGAAAACTGCATTGGGGGGTATTTACTTTAAAACTGCCCTTTTTAAACACAAGCAGTCAAAACAGCCACCAAATAAAGGGAAGCCCAAATCAAAGCTTTCCCACCAGGCGGGAAGCCCAGCATCCCAGGTGGTGGCCCTCATTCATTTCTAGCATCAAGTAGGTCATTTGCACCCCATCCTTTCTGCTGGTACAGGTAGGGGCAGAGGGAGGAGCGAGGCCATGAGCCTGGCTTTGCAGCCAAGCTATGGGCTCTGGCCTCTCCTCAGAGGGCCATGAAGCCTTCAAGATGGGATAAAGGAGCAATTGAGCCATGAGACACTGGGCTGCTGCTTGAGAAAACCCTGGAAGTGCTGCAGGCACCTTCACTCTGTGTCATCTCCTGCACCGCTTGGAGCTTGGCAAACCATCTCCCTGCAAAAACCAGAGCTGGAGAAGTGAGCCAGCAAGGTGGAAAGGGAGCTGTGGGACAGACTGACATCTGTTACAGAGCTGGTCCATGTTTCACAGGCAGATCCTGAAGCCCTCACACTAGCCGGAGCCTTGCAGCGAGCCCGCATCCACCGGGGACCAGCCTCGTGCAAGGCACACGGCAGCCAGGTGCCACAATTGTCTACCAAAAATAGCTTTGCCACCCCAAACCCTGCAAGGACTCCTGCAGTTCAGAGATGCTCTGGGCTCGGCTTTGCTGGATGGAAGTGAGAATATTTATAGTAGTCTGGGCTCTCCCATCTATGTGCTGCTTTCCTCTCCCTGGGTTGGGGCTCACGTCATGCCACACCATACTCTGAGAATTCAGTGGCTCAATGCAGAAGATCTGGGAGCTGTGCTTTTACATCCCCCCAAAGAGATGACCTAGTGGGAATGTCTTTAAACAAAACTTTAGAATATTTTAAATAATAAGTTAATTCTTAATAAATATGTGCTTCAAGAAAATGATAATTATATACTGCACCTTTAAATAATGCACTTAGTTCTCTGCATTGGCTTCCATTTTGGTTTCTTTTATTGTTAAAGTGCATTAATTCAAAATAATGAACCACTTCCGCATCATTATTGTTAAAATAAATCATAACAACATTAATACGAGTCACTAAGTCACTACTATTAGTACTGCAATCTAGCAGATAACTCTATGTATTGCTCTATTTAATACTGTCCAGCAGAAGAATATAATACTTCTATTATAATCTCACAACAGCTCCAGCAGTCTTTTATGGCTGCTACCATATTAGTACAACTAAAAATGGGGAGAAGTATGAGAGACAGGGCCACAATGCCTCAGAAACACATCCAGTAAGATGTAGCTAACTGGATATATACATATATATTATATGGTAACATGTTAAGGTACAAAGAGGACCCCAAACACTGTGATATGAGCTGTTGTGCAGATACACCTCCTTCTGCCACCACAATTTAAAGGGATCCCAATCAAACACCCTTCCTCCCCACTTGGATGCAGAGAGCTGCTTGAACCACAGCACTGTTCATAGCCAGTTGTGGAACCTGGATGTTGTTTCAGCTACCAAAAGGACATCAGTCAGGTTAGCTGTAGGCAACTCTCTTAATGTTACCATGGAAATTAATAAAAACCCCAAACAACATAAAAAAAAAATAAAGACAAGAACAACGTATAAATTGTGTAAATTTTTTTTGGCAGAGAAACATCCCCAGTAACACACGATATTGTTGTGCTATTTTACTCAGCCCCTTGAGCCCAGCTATTTTAAAGTCTTTATAACCTTCACCTTCCAAGCCAAATCGGTATGAAACTGGTGGAAAAAAGGGCATGTATCATTTTGTGTAAACCAGTAGTGAAATGGTCTGCTCCCTCCCCCTTAAAACAGATTTACAATGCTGCCTATTATTTAAAGGAACTAGGTATTGATCTTGAGTGATTAACAAGGCCATTTAAAAAAAAAAAAAAAAGCATGACTTCCTCAAGTACAGTAGGGATTTAGCCAATGATGTTTACAGTACAAGAGTTGGCTACCTCATGAATAACTCCACATTCCTAGCCTTTTCCAATGGATGTCTCTTCCATTTCCCACCACACTAGCCCCACCATGTGCCACGTTTCAAAGCATGAGTTAAGAAAGGCAAACAGAAATGGAACTAGAAGAGGCAGCTTCCTGGTTAAACGCATTGTAGACCTAATTGCTTTGATATTAAATCTCTGAGCCCGAGAAGCCCAGGTGCACTTTCCAGTACAAATGTACTTTCTGGATTCAAGTGGGAACAGAAACACATATTTGGCTCCTACTTCAGTTTTAAGTCTCTTCTGGTAAAACAAGACAAAAAAAAAGTAAACCCAGAACACACAAAGACAAAAACAAAACACACAAAAACAATTCCCCAAAAATATACAAATTAAGGATGTGCAGACTGAGTTTGATGGCTTCCCCCTCCCCCGCACTGTAAACACTGATGTTGCAGAAGGTTACGGCTATTTCTAATATCTTGGTGAGCCCCGCCAGCAGTCAGCACGCTTGGATTCGGACCAGATCACAAAAACAGAAGTAACACATTTGACAGCTTTGTCTTTAGTGTCTTAGGGGACTTCTGTACATTTTGATATTGACAAGTTTTGAGAAACCCAACTCTGGGAAGAGAATCAACCAGGATCACCTGGCAGGGGTCAGGCACAGAACTAAATATGGAGCCTACGAAGTAATCAACACGCTTAAGCATGGGGTTTGTAAGTCTGTTTTTACAAGCACCAGTAGGCATCGCTGCCCTTGAACACCTGAAATCCCAACTCAAAGAACAAGACAGAATGAAAGGAAACAAAAAGGCCCCAACCAACACCACCTGATTGCCTTTTCTGGTGAGTTAGCAGTAACAACAAAACACAGCTGAAGTCAGAGACCAAATCTCTCCGCAATGAAAAGGCTCCAACTCTGGACCAACCAACTGTTGACAATAGTTAAAAAAAAAGTGAACATCTCCAAAGAATTAGAGTCCCTCTGTGTTTCAGAAACTTCCATTCGCTTCTCACTGTAAGTTGTGGAAACGCATCCAAAACTCTTGGGTATTCCATGTACGGACAAGAACGAGGAGAAAGGGAGCCAAGATTGTAAAACAGTTTGGCACAAAACTCCCCAAGTAGATGCATGTGTATTTCTCTCTCACAAAAGGCACACATTTGGTTTCCTATCAATAACGGGAAAGATGGGATGTCATACCCTGTTACACATACAAGATTATTAACAACTTCACAAAAAGGCATTTGACTATGCTGCATCTTCCTCATGGTTGCTTACAACACGTTAACCCCACAAACCTCTCCAGAACATGGCAGATTTGTCCTCAGCATAGACTCCTTTGTCCCTTTGTACAAACTGGAGCACAGGGAAACGTCTTTTTGTGTAGCAATTGTTTTTTCCACATGTACACAGCAGGAACAGTATAAATTAGGGAGGTTAAAGATATTGCAGTATTAGTTCTTTTTCTCCAAGTAATTTGAGGGCACCCAGCCTTTGAATGGCTTCACGCCATTCATGATCTGGCAGTACCACCAGCCATTTGGGTTCCTTTCGAGGACCTCCATGCAGACACCTTCCTGAAACCCTGCAGTCTCCTCATCCCCTTCATAGTCTGCAATGGAAACATAGATGTCCTTGAGGTTGTTGTGGATGAACTGGGATTTCTCAATGGGCTTTGGCCTAACTGTGGACACAGGAATCCCATTCCTCTGGGCAGGGAGGTTGGAGGTGGTCTCCGAGCCCTCTGTACCTGACCGCTCAGGCTGCTTTCCCTTCGCGTCACCGGGCTGTGACCATGCGTTGCTGAAGGAAGAATTCCGACGGACGGTCCTAAGATGATCTGTAGTTGTTAAAGACTCATTTCTGCGCAAGGAGCATGACAGATTGTTATCCTTTGGTGGTGGAGACACAAACACTGACTGCGGCCGGACGGCAAGTTGCCTCACACCATTCCTCATTTTGACTGGCCCTGATGGTTTTGAAAAACCACCAGGAGGTTTGTTTGGGATGGGTGGTGTTGCACGTTTGCTCTGATTGATAGTGTTCAAAGCCTGAACTCTCTTCTCTATCTTCTCTAAACTGTTTGACTTGTTTTCATTTTTCCTGTTCCTGGCAAATGAAGCATCAGTCTCTCCTGACGTTGTTTCTCGCTGGTTATCAGGGAGAGCCAAATAATGGGAAGGAGCCCAGCCTTCCATGTCTCCATATTTCAGGTACCACCATCCACTGGCTTGCTTTTCCAGCACTTCTACTTCTACTCCTGCTGGGAAGCAAATTTCAGAATCCTGTACTTTTTGGTATGAGTCAATGGTCACATAGAAACATCTGGAGTCATTTTCTTGCTCAGTTTTGGCTGGTTGGCTAGAGCAGAAAATGCCACGGGAAGGAGCTGTAATCAGATCAGCCGAGCCTCTCCTAACAGGATCATCTTGGTTCTCAGAAGCTGTGTGTGGGGGGCTCTCGGACTCTTCACTTCTTGAACCTTTAAGTCCACCTCTGAGTTGCCCAGTTGGTCTCAGCTGACGCCTTAAAGTGCTGATATCCATCTTTTCTTGGCTCTGAGAGTCTGCCTTGTTCAGGAAGGGTTTGGGCCTAACGATTGGCTTTGCTCTAATGGAAGGACTCTGCCCAGGCTCTTTCTTCATGCCTGTTCTTGGAATGCTGCGTAAGCCAACATCTGAAGCTGACCTTGGTTTCGTCTCCTCGCTCCTGGAATAGTGACATTTTCCAAGATCGGGCTGGACGTTTTTGTCCATCTTGAGCTTCACAAGTGATGATTTAGGAGAGCTGGAACATGGAGAATTCCTTCGGATCAAGGAAAGAGAGGAGCTTTTCTGAGAATCGGAGTCTCCACTGGATTCCTTATTGGACAAAGCATCTTCCACATAACGCCTGAATCCCTCATTCTCATAGATGGTCTCTTCTTCGTGAGCAACATCTTCTGAAGACTCTCCTACTTTGAACTTTGCTTTCTGAAGTGATGACACAGGAGAGGGCTTGAGGGGCTGAAACAGTCGTTTTTCAGGAGTGCCCTCTTCTCGATGACTTTCACTCACTTCACATTCCGAGTCAAAACCAAAGGCAGGCACATCATACTCAGGTTCTTCATATTTCAGCTTGTGGGGAGAATCCTGGTTATCTCCTGAAGAAACTGTTCCAGGAGTTGTTCCTTCTTCAGAGTCTTTTGGTTTACTGGGAGGTGCTGGGGGAGGAACTTTTGGGCGGGTTAAAGTACTGGTTCTTCTGTTTAAATTTGGCTTCTTCCTCTTGTCAATGTAAGATGCTGGAGCCCATCCTTCCTTCTCTCCAATCTGCACGTACCACCAGCCACCAGAATTCTTTTCTATAACCTAGGAGATGACAAGGAATATGCTACTTAGACAAAAATCTCAACCAATTGCTTTCCACTCCTCCCTTTCAATCCAATCCCCTGCAACAGCCAAATATTACAGTTTTTCCAGCTGCACTGTTAAGGCTCACCTCTGCTTTTTGTCCTCCACGAAAGCTTATGCCATCAGAGATACATGACTGGAACTCTGCAATGGTATAGTATTCCACTTCCACGGAGGGTGGCTCTGGTGGTTTGGGCAACTGAAAACCCTAAGGCAAATAGGAAGTTTCGTTCAATTAAACCAAAGAAACAGTGGGCTGAACAGCACTACGAAAAAATATTTGCCTTTATTCACTAAAACTCTTCCTTCTTCCTGTGCTACTTCCTAATGATAACTTCCCAGTTCTCCAGAGTGGAAGCTGATGTATTGAGATGGGCCACAAGAGAGAAGCCTTTCAAAATACACACTGTTCATGCCACCTTCACCAGCTATTAAAACTGTGATAATCTTTACCTGAACAGTAAAACATTTTACTGATGGGCCATAAAGCATGAGCTGCCATTCCCGTCACAGTAACAACAGCCCATTTACTCTGAGATTTTGTCCAGAAAGTTTCAGTTCTGGATGGCTTGCCACAACTGCAGAAAATTGCATTGCAATAGGCCTGTAATAACTTCTGCCTATCATCAAATATACTACCTTAAAATGTAACCCTAATAAATTATTGCTCTTAATCTGCTGCTGGATTTTTAAACAATCTGAAATAGTCAGTGATATGAGCTAATGGGCATCTGTTGTAGCAAGATACAAGGATAATATCATAGACGCCTATGAAGAGCTTTGCTCAACTGAAGTTATAGGAGAAAGGAAGTACTTTACTACAGGATCAAAAGATTCCAGTTCCTCCCTGTAAGAGACCCAGAAATTCTACTCAATCCCAACATAACCTGCATTTAAATTTCATAGAGGCTCCATGAGAAGCAGGACACTGCTATTTACAGCCATTCTGGCAGCATACCAGACTCCTCTAAAAGCAAAGTGCCTTCACATTAAGCTGCCACAGTTTAGAGTTCGTTACAATTATTTTTAAGGTGATAAATGGGATAAGAGTCCCTTCAAGAATTTCAACATTGAAAGCTTTTCAGATTAGCCATTGCTCATCTACAGAACAACTAGATGATGGTGAAGCTTCACAGCTTCTGCACTTCACTGCTTATAACACTGCAGTATGTCAGGATCTCTTGAACACAGGTCAGACCTGCCACAGACAGATACAGGACAGCCAAAGACACAGAATGATCCTAAGCCATTCATGGGAGAAAGGCAAATTGCATACTGTGCTTTATTCACACGCTCCTCCATTTCTAAGATATCCTTATAACTAACAATCCATGTTTCATCATGCACAGCATGTGGCATTTCACAGAGAATGCATCACTGCACCTTAGGAACCGTGTCTAACAATGTTATAATTGGATGTTTCTGCACTATAAATGCTGAAATACAGCAGAAGTGCAGCATAATAAAATGCCTTCAGATAATAGGATGGTTTGGATTAAATGAAGATAATTGGAAACAGCAGACATCTTCAGGGTTTCACATATATTATCACTGTTATTTTTAGCATAGGATTAAGTGTAATAGTCTTGCCAAAATGAAGTCTAATTGAAACTAATACAAAGAGAAATAGGAAGAAAATGCTAATATGCTATTCATCTAGTTTGTTAAGAGGCATCTGAGCTGACACAGAAAAATTACAAGTCACATGCTGCTCATAAAGAGTACAGCAAAGATTAAACACTATGTATTGCCTAGTTATAAACAAGTTATTAGGATGACTTCTGTGCAAATAGACTACTGAGTAGTTCCTACCTGAAGATGACAGTCCTAATCTCAAAATACCAGAACACTAGCTTTGAGGATAAACAATCCTAGTAGGTCTCATTCCTGTAGCACACATCTTTCCATAAGATCCCAAGTCACTTTAAACATACACAAAAGCGAAGCTTAGCCACCTCAAATACGGTAGCGATGGAAGGAGGGGAGATGTTTCCAGTTGTTAAAGACAAGAGAAGGTCAAAAGAACCAGTCTGGGCTAAAGACACCCAGAGGAACTTTAAACCTTCTGAGTCAGAGAAATGGCCTTTAATGCTCAGGCACAGAACATAGTAGCTTTAGGATGTTCCCTCTTCAGTTCAATACCTGCTTAGCTGGGGCAACATTCTGAAGAACAAAAATCCCCAATTAACATCAGGATGTCCAGAGGTCTGCTCGATACTTAAACAATAAAATGAACAGGCATGCAAATAAAGGATCTCTCAGATACACTCCACACCTTGTACAGCCGTAGAAAGTATCAGAAAGCACCCACACACCTACCCCACTGCTAACAGATACCATAAACCAATACAAACCAGACTGGATTCTCTTCGTGGAGGTGGCCTTGTTCTTAGATTTGGAGAACCTGAGCAGGAAAGGAAAAAGGGAGAGTTTATTTAACTTTGTAAGTACCGCTAAACACATTTTTCAGCAGCTCTCTGCTGTTACACAGTTTGAGAATATTAGAAATCAGTATTTGCAATATTTAAGGCATCTCTATGAAACAAGATAGGAAACTATGAGGGTATATTAGAAATACCAAGGTAGCTTAGCTATTCATCTCAGCTAAGCCAGCAAATTTAAGAGGAAATCACTGCCAGAAAGTAGTGTATTGTATCTTCTGCTAGAACTGACCAGCTCCATTGGAGATTGGCCAGCAAAGAATTGGCCTAATACCTAGTTTTCCCCCCAGCAGTAAAAATAATCCACTAAATTAATAACACTCACACTGTCCTCTATCACAGTATCTTGCCAGTCCTTGCATAGTCTAGTGTTAGCATCTGCATTTTGCAAATGAAGTAGTAAAAACATTATAGCAACTTGCCCCCAGGAAAACGGCAGAACAAATGCAAGAGAAGACACAGGTGGTCTGCTTGACTTTAACACACCATCACATCATCTGCATTACTGGGGGTGGGGGGCACATTTTAGAGTGTCTAAAAGGAAAAAATCTTCTCTGGGAAAAAAGAGAAAAAGTAAAAACATACTGGCTAAGATAAAGAAGAACCAGCCAGCCCTTGTATAAAGTGAAGTTAAATTTTATCACTACTTATGAAGGACAATGTCCTGGACTCCCTGCAGATCCACAGTCAATGCAAAGATCTGCTTGTGTGGACCCAGCTATAAGGCCAGGACACATGGGACCTTAGCTGACAGGCAATGCCAGCCCTGAAAGGCAGAAAACAAGAATTCATTGCAAGCCAGTGGAAACCCAGACTACTTTACTGCCTTACTTATTTGAGCTCTTTGTGGTGCTATCCTTGCTATGGCTGGGGATCCCTGGGCCAGTTTGGAAGCTTGCTTGTCTGGGGTCATCATGGCATTGCCATTAGAGTCATTGCACAGGATGGGCAAACTGATTTCCTTCTTAGTGATATGGGTTTCTGCATTCTCGTTTTCCGCTTGAGTTTCCTTGTCAGTGGATGATTTCTTGTTCAGCAGGTTACTGATCTCCATGATGTTTCCTATGATTTCCACTGGCCCAGTTAAGTTCTTTTTCCTAGATGGGAGATCATCTTTAGCCTTCTTCAGATACGAAGCTGGGGCCCAGCCCTCTTTGCCTAGATACCTGCAGATGCAAAAGGAAACATCATCACATCAAACACAGCCTTCTCACGCATTTCAGGTATAATAGCTAAGGCAAAAGTGATGGATGATAACAAAAACCAAAATTTGCAGTTCTTGGATAAGCTTTTGTGGTCTCCGTTTATTACCTATTGATTACACATCTCAGTCAGCTGTGCTAGCAGTGAACTGTGGAGTGCTGCTAAAAGCCACTTCTCATCCTAAGGAAGGAGTCTTTCTGGATAAGAAATAGTTACTCACAAGGCAAAGGGCACCACCAGTTTGTTTTATGCCACACTTAGGCAGTACTAGGCAAACTCAGTATTTTCCCATACAGCAAAACAGCAAATGAGTAAAATATTTTTATAGTTTTAATACTTCCTAGTGGCAACTCAAAACGAAAAAGGGCTAAAATAAGGGTGTACAGAGCCCAGTACAGAGCCCCTACATCTGCAGTTTAAGGCCCTTATGCAAGCCTCCCCCCTTGCAATTAGAACGAACACTGCCCCTCCTCCCCTAACTCCCAGTCCTGTATGATCAGCTTCTTTTATGGAGAATATGGGACTCAAACTACTGCAGCTTCCTCTAGCACTGCAAAGTTGAGAAACAATTTGACTAAGGAAAAATGGCTTTGATGGAGACTCATTTTCCTAAACAAGCTAGGGGCTATTTGAAGAAATAAACTGGGAAATCTGAACAGACATCTGAGTCCTGTACATGTTCCCGGAGCACCAGCCTGAGCTGCTCAAGCTGCACTTCAAACTGAAGTCATTCTTTCACAACTGGGCTTTTGGGAAGATGGTTTTTCTAACTCCTGCCATTCCTAACACCTCAGCAGGGATTTCAGATTACAATCAGACTCCAGGGAGGACCACGTGGATGAACTCTGCTTTCCCTAATGAAACCGTAACTTGCTACAGAGTGAGTCACTGAAACCTTTCTCCCTTTAATCTCTCAAGATACCAAAGCAGGCACTTGAACTGTAAGTGGGAAAGCAGGCACCGTTAACATCCTGGTGCTCAGGAAATCTGCAGGAAATACAAAGGTTAAAACAGTAGGACTCTAAGGCTCTTTAATGAAAATGGAGACTCATTAGACAGCAGAGGAAGGAGCTGGGGCGGGGGGAATATCAGCAAATGATTCCCTGGCAGATGAGCAACTTTGTCATGCCAACAGTTGGATTCTGAGGTTTGCGCTGAGATTTCTGCACCAGGGCACACCCTGGGCTCATTCACCACATCCAGACACTCAAGAGTAGCACTGGGACTTTATGGGGAGAACAGGAAAATGCACTGTAGATTTGCTTCCCTAGACTTCTTCATTACTATTCCTGTACAAAAGCAAATACAATTGCTGTACTTCTAGCAATGACCACAAGGACCTTTCTGTCCAAAATCTTGCCTTTTCCTCCCCTTCCATGTAGATCAGCCAGGATACTAGAGATGCTACTTCTCCCTACATACCTGCCTTCTGTCACACATGAAGGCAAAGATATGGGATCTCCCCTGCTCAGAGAGTTTAGTGACAAGTTTTTCCAAAGATTCTGGGGTCAAAGGAAAGCATCCCAACAGCTCTGAACTTTGTTTGCCGCATGAAGACTAACAAGAAGTAGCAAAATGGTAATGAATTGATTTGACTTTGAGCAGATACACAGCATCCAGCCATTGATACTATATCAAGATGCAATTTGGATCTATTCAATCCTGTCCCCCTTGAGGCTTTTCTGATAAGCCTCAAACCAAGCCAAAAAAAGAAAAGAAAAAAAGGCCTTAATGTGTGCCACATCCCCTAGTGCGGCAAGGGATCTCTCAGTGCCATTTTCGAGCCATGAAGACTTTTGGCTTCATCCCCTTTTGCAGTTGATGGCCTTTTTGCAGAGCTACTGACCAATGCTTTCTGCTGCCTGTGCATCAGGGAAGTTTTTTTTAAAAGGACATTTCTAACTTTACCTCATCTGGAGATGTAAAGGTTTTTGTCTGTGAGAAAGCCACATCGGTCAATGCAGTGAGCACTCCAGTTCCAAAAGTTACTTTCAACAGAGCTTGATTGTGCAAAATCAGCAAGAAAAAACAGTTTACATCCGTCTTAGTTTGTGGGAGACTTAACATGTTTAAGATCAGAAAGGCAGCCACAGGCAGGTTCTGTACTGGCTCGTTAGTTCTCCTGCCAACTGTACGTATTTGGATCAGCCCATATAACCCCGCTGCTTCAGACACCTCTGATCTCACACAGTTTCTCCCAATGAATAGTAGCAGCAATAGCTGGACAGTCAATAACTCTGGGCAACATATCTTCAGTAGAGGGGTTGTGCTGGTTATTTCTTCTGTGAGTTAGTAAATTCAACCTGAAGTTACTACTGAGCAGTAGCTGCCAGCAGCTGCCAGTTTATTTGTGCAACTTCACAAATAAAAGCTGTGTATGCAAGTCAAATAGGCTTACATTTTTCACCTTAGTCCTTGAACTTGGCAATCTCAAAGCCCTTTGCAAACATCACCTTAGAAGACTACTTGATGCCCCCATTTTATAGGTGAAAACTAAGGCAACAGAGAAGTCCTGAAGTGGTAATGATCTTCATTTCACATCTAAGAGTTGAATCACAAATATTCTTCATTTGTATTCACAACCCCATCCTAGATTCCTCATTTCAGTGCCACTACCACCACCCAATTGCACTTCATTCACATGGGCTGAGGCTCAGAATGAACCACAAAATGAAGATGCAGGCAAATAGCAAAAGCTTTACTTAACACATTGCTACTTACTTGTCCTGCAATCCACTTGGGCACCAGGAGATTACCTCCAGGTGACAGTAACTGATACAAAACAAGATCTAAATAATAGATGCTAATGCCAGCTATGATCATAAGGGGAAGCACATAGATCCACTGAACTTAGTAGAACAGTAATAAGGATCCCAGGTCAGAGCCTTCCTTTCACTTCTCCAGAGTCCCAATGATTTTTTTTTAAAAAGTCATAATGTACACAGGGTGAAATAAAGGAAGACACCAATATTACCTCTAGCTTCTACAGCATTCAGTTGGGAGGATCGCTGAATTAGGTGCAGTGATTTGGTTCCTTGGTGATTCCACCCCCCCTCCCCGTTTATATTACATGAAGGAAAAAGTGGATTCAAACCATAGGAATGTTAAAAAAAAAGTCAGAAGTGCCTCTGTGAGTCTGACTGAGAGTCACATCTGCTTTCCAGCTCCAGAGCACTGGAATTACTCCAGAGGGAAGCAAACTAGGGGGAAAAAAAAAAAAAGAAAAAAGAAAAAAAAAAGAGAAAGAAGGACAGGAAATGAGGATCAGCACATGGCCAGGAATTTGGGGAAATTACATATTTAAGGTGGAACAAGCTAATGTCTTTAAGGTGGATTCCATTTGCAAGCTGCTGGATTTGTTTTTATTTCTACACACTGATGTGTGTGGTGTCTGTTACCTAGCCCAGCAGACAACAAAGCAGCAGGATTCAACTGCAGTCTCTTCCTGCTCCCTCTCCCCTCACACTCACTGCAGGAGAAGGAGGTGCTCCTTTTAAGGCACTCAACACTCAGAAACCGTATTGCTGCAGAAGAGGAATCCTTTTCTGAGTGGTACCTAACAGTATTCAGAGCAGTGCTAAGTCTAATAAACAGCACAAGACAGTTGGAGATCAGCTATCCAGGCTGCAAAGGACCAGCCTGCAGGGATGGATCACTGCATCAACATTTCCAAAAGTGTTGCCTATGGAAAAAAACCTGTTTCCAAGCGCAGCTTAATCCTCCAGCAAGACTGCAGCATAGTGTTCCAGAGCAGCAGAGAAGGTGACGGCTGACCCCCACTACACTTGTCACACACATATGGGGAGCACCTAACCCACCTTTTAACAAGAAGAGGGGTTGCTCAGCTCAAAATGCCTCTTAACAAAAAAGCCAAGGGCATTCTGCCTTCTCCAACTACCATGGGGTGCCTGGGGCATCCGCTGTCCTTCCAGTAGATCACCATGAAGGAGCCACTTAAGCCACTGCAGCAAGTGTCACCGTCACTGTCACCAGAATATACTTCTGCTATATAGGAAAATATGTGTTTTGGATTGGCTTAAAGGACTGTGTGAACAAAAGGGGGAAAAAAAGAAATTCTACTTATTGTAGAACTGTTAGTATGGCAAAGGGCAACCAACAGTAGTAATAAGGGTGCATTTCAGAAGGAGAATACCAAAGTAAACTGAAGATGTCTTGCAATGTTTCTCCCCTCGGAAAACCTATGTGCTCTTGATTCCTCAATCTGCAACTTTGGATTCCACTTCTGTGAATGATTAAAGGAGAAAAAAAAATGTGACCTGACCAAACCCAGGCATTTTTGAGTTCCTCCTATCTAGAGTGCCTTCCTGGATCCACTGCTATCTTTATTAGCCTACTCCCTCTATGGGAGCATTAGATAGGAAATTAAAAAAAGTAAAAAAAAAAAAAAAAAAAAAATCAGCTTTCCAAGTAAAGGACATCAAGAAAAACAAGAACATTGCTTCAGTTAGCATTTTCACAGTCCTCATTCATAGCTGATAAATCAAGCAGAATTCAAACAAAAGCAAGTTAGAGCTTGGGGAGGGAAAGGGGAAAAAATAATGACTATAATTATAGGCTGAATGGAAAAAGATTACTAGATGAGATGTTTTGCGCCACTTGAGAGATAAACCTCCTTTTTAAAGCTACCTGTTGTATCGCATCTTGTTTAAAGAGAAATGGGATGTCACAGCACTGCCAGATTCATACATAGATACAAACCAAGGGGCAGAATCATGAAAGAGCACTAAAACTTAAGTGCTGCATGAACTGAGATGGAGAAAGGTCTCATTAAGTACTCATCCTGACACCTTATATCACTATCTGAGACACATCTAACCTACATTATCCCCATAAGTGCTTAAAAAGGGGATTCCTAAGCCATAAGTCTCCTCTGTGACTGCTGTTTCAAATACATAAAGTTTGATACATGATGATAACTCCGCCTGCCCTTGGCATCCAGTCCCTCTACGTTAGGAGTATCTAACGTGGATAAGCAGAAATCAGGTTAATTAGTTGAAGTCATCAATAAGTTGGAAAAGGGCTACAAGCAGCATGATCTCTTATGTCCCTGAAAATAGCACTACCTGCCTCAAACAGCTCAAGAGATCACAATCAGCCTTTTAGCATTGCTATAAATAGATTTAAAAGTGTTGCAGAATAACTCTTATACTGGAAACACATTGAAATTACACACAACAGAAAGCTTTGTTAGGTCTCACAGATCTTAACTCAGATATGGGCTTTTAACTTGAAGGAAGGAAAAAAAATAAATCTACAAGTTCAGGAATTTCCCCACTAGAATGGTCCACAGCTTTTGCAGACACTGTAGTGTTACTTTAATCACCATTGTATCATCTTAGCCTTTTCTTTACATTTCTTCAAGAGGCATTATGAATGATTTGGGTTTCTTTGCCCAGCTACAGAATTATTTAAATGCTAACATTAAGTGAATTATCAGAAAAGCTCATTGTCACAGGTTCTGCAGCAATCTGGCTGCACAGCTTCTTTACCTTATGTACCACCATCCTTCCAGGTTCTTTTGGATGACCTCCACGGTGACCCCTTTTTCGAACCCAATCTCATCCTTCCCCTGGCTGGCGTATGGCTGGATAGTGACATATTTCTCTTCTAGCGAAGGGAGAAAAGGCAACATCGGTTAGGGTCAGAATTAGTCCAGCTGTTTTTCTGTTCTGCTTGCTTTTAAACTGTTATGCAGTGATTACGTGGAGCCATTACAAAAGGCGGAGCCCTGCTCAGAGGCCCACTGATTATTTGAGCTGACGACATGACAGATAATCAGCCCCTTGCCACTATCCTGCTGCTGATAATCACAAAGTGTTTCCATGCCAATAATGACAAAAAGTCCCCAGAGAGCTTCCCCCCCTTCTTCCGCCCCCCTCCAAGTTCCTCACGTGGGTAAGGGAGAGGATTTGAAGCTGGACTTAACTCCCATACTGTAACTTGACAGAATCAGCCCTGCTGCCAAATCAGCCAAGCGTCACTGCAGGAGCTCCAGCCAGTTGGCTCTTTTGAACATGCACATGGCTGCACAAAGCATTGTGTTACTGAAACCCAAGCCCTGCATCCCGAGAGGGACTGATCCTCCCCAACTCAGAGGGGCTGGCCCATCCCACTGCTCTCCTTGGACCTCTTGAACAGCATAGGTCTACAGCAATGAGCTTAAAACAGTTATAAAAAAAGTGACAAAAGAATATAAGGGGTTTGCATTTGAGAGGAGACCATACAGCATCTTGCATTCATGGGTTGTGAAGTGTTTTGCAAACATACTTCTGGTGGACCTCACTCCAGAGAAATACACAGGTGGCAGTGGTAAAGGAGGACCAGAACTAAGACACATACTTCAAAAGCACAGCTAGATTTCAAGTATGGCGTTTGAGCCAAAAACTTAGCATCCCTATTCATCTCCAGCACCTATCCCCTTCCCAGCTGGGCAGACTTGATGAGAACAAGCCAATGAGCAGAGCAGAACAGACACTTTCTCAGCATCTTCCTCCACCCACCAGGAGTCATTTACTGCAGCATTTCCATCATGCTCAAGGTCAACCTTTTCCTCCGTTAGCTTAAAAAATTACAGCTGGCATTGAAAATGTGTACTACCAGCCTTGCTCTACAGCGGCAGACACGGAAAGTGTTACCAAACCCCTCTCCTGAACCCAGGCTACAGTGCATGTAATAGCATGAGTTTCTGTAGCTAGATCAAAGGCAGGGAAGGCAAGCAATAAAGCACACCCCAACCAGCTTTCCTAGCACTTTCTACTGGCAGTTGCAACAAGGCACGGCCAGGAACAAATAGAGGGTTGTCAGTGCACTGGAACGGGCAGGAAATTAAGTGAATCCAGAGCTCCTGATCACTGCAGAACAAAGGAGCTATGAAAAGGTTGCAGCAGCTTGAGGCAAACACTCTTTTGGAGAGAGCGAAGCAGACCCAACCATCTGTTTGGTTTTGTGGCTCAACTGCATTTTGTTGCTGGGCAAAGCATGGAAACTTTAAGAAAAAAACCCAAACAACCAACCCAAACCCTTACTGAGACAAAGTAAGAAATAATACCTCAGAAAGCAGAAAAAAAAATGTTGGCAGAGCATCTGATGGCAGAAAATTCAGCAAAGCTACATCTCTGAAGTCAACTTCCCTCAATGGGTCGCTTTTGGATCCTTCTCATTCTGATGGGGTAAAACCTGTCAAAACCTTTGCCTCCAAGAGGAAAATACTCTCTCTTGCTCTCCCCTAGGAGGGCTGCTTTAACTATTTTATCACTGGTAAGAAATTCCAGCTAGTTTGTAATTAGCACCATCAGGATACGACACCTTCCCCACAGAAATACTCTACAAGATGGGGCCTGACGAATGAAACTCAGCTACTGAAACCCTGCTTCAAAGTCACAGGACAGCTTTCCTAGCTGGGGTTCTGCTCTGGACAGTAAAGGTGGACTCATTTTTCTTCTATTTCAGGTGACTGCTGCTGAAGGAGTTACATGCCCGGTTTCCACTGCATGCAAAGCCCCAAGCACTAAACTGAACTGCAGAAGATCCCCAGGCAGCTAATTTCGTCCCTGAGAGGAAAGGGCCAAGGGAAAGTTCAGGTGCACAGAGCTGCACTGTCCAGACACACATTGCTTCAGACACTTCCAGGGATGTTTCTAGCAGAGTAATAAAGAGCTAAGCCATGTGTTTGCTGGATGGTGGAAGAAGGCCCTGCTTTGTATCTCCCCCATACCAAAGCCGCTTTATAACCCAGGCTATCAGAGTTCACCCTTGCCACTACAGCTACAACAGAAGTTTCTCTGTTTATCTTATTTTTCCTCCACATAAACAGCAATCCCTGCTGCAGTTAAAGCGAGCTATTCAGCTCCTCTTGCTGGGCAGAGTGGTCTCACTCTTCAGGGATGTGATCTCCCTTCTTCTGCAGAGGACAGGGTAGGAGGCCACGAGTGAGCTGCTCACTCCTAGAATTCAACACAGCTTTCCAAACTCCTGCTGCAGCAGGACTTCTCCTGTGTGAGGAATTGAGACAGTGGTCACCCATCAACCTCAACAGCATTTGAGTCTGATCATTCAAGGATGCTCTGGTTTCAGCTGGGATAGACTTACTTTTCCTTCTAGTAGCTGGTATAGTGCTATGTTTTCGATTCAGTATGAGAATAATGCTGATGACACACTGATGTTTTCAGTTGTTGCTAAGCAGTGTTTATACTAAGTTAAAGATTTTTCAGCTTCTCGTGCCCAGCCAGCAAGAAGGCTGGAGGGGCACAAGCAGTTGGGAGGGGACACAGCCAGGACAGCTGACCCAAACTGGCCAAAGGGGTATTCCTTTCCATATGATGTCATGCCCAGTATACCAAACTGGGGGAAGTTGGCTGGGGGGTGGGGGGCACAGATCACTGCTCAGGGACTAACTGGGCATCCATCGGTGAGACATCAGCAACTGCAGTGTGCATCACTTGTTTCGTATATTCCAATTCCTTTTTTATTATTATTCTAATTTTATTATTATTATCATTATTTTCTTCATTTCTGCCCTATTAAACTGTCGTTATCTCAACCCATGAGTTTTTCTTTTTTTCAGTTCTCTGCCCCATCCCACTGGGTGGGGGGAAAGTGAACGAGCAGCTGTGTGGTACTTAGTTGCTGGCTGGGGTTAAACCACGACAAAAGGAAATCAAAGTTTGAGGTGAGGGTCCTTTGCAAACTAGGATGCAACCACCTTCCAAACATTAGATCCCTTCCTCCCCCACACAAATCCACTCTCTCCACTCCAAATATGGATGAGCGGCTTGCCAGTGAAAAAGACAACAGATCCATGCAAGCTACTACAATAGCCAGCAACTTCTGCAAACACAACTTTTGGGCCTGCAACTATACATGTGGGCACACATCACTGCTGTACCTGTTAATTACTGCATGTCTTCCTCCCAGCCACTGACTCCTGGACTTCCTTTCCAGTTTGTTTCAAGGTAAGGCAGAAGAGCAAAGACATCCTCCAACTCCTCTCATTCTGGCTGAAAATAGGCCAGGAAGGACTGACCATGCTGTTGAGGTGGCACATTGGAAAAGCGGCTGCCAGTTGCATGGGGAAGCCACATGCCCAGCTGAGAGAGCTGCAGCCTCTTTCCTGAGCTTTTCACCATTGCTTAGGTTTACTGGGGAGAGACTGCACTCTTGAGGACCACTCTACTGTCAGTATTGAGATTACTGCTTTGCCTGTTGCTGCTCTCACCGTGCTGCCTTGCACACACCATACTCGATACCGCCCATCAGTGGCTCTGCATGACCAGAAGACACTGGCCCACTCTATAAAATGAAATACTGAGTTGCTAAAGAGGATGGAACCCCATCCAAGTACCATGACACTGGGATGCACAGGTAAGGCTTTTCTGAATTGCCACTCTCTTAGACTGTCCATGAACACCTCCACCGCTTACATCTGCAGTCCTGTGGCTTTCAACTCAAGACTACAGCCCTTTGAGAGAGGAAAGCCCTTCAGGTGACTCGTCCCTATACAAAGGAAGGGGAAAAATGAGACTGCATGGAAGTAGGAAGAGAAGAGAGAGGAAGAAGTTCCCCCATGAAGCAAGACAATCAAAAGTGTTGAAAATCTGCTTAGAAAAGAGGGTCCTACAATATTTTTGTTTAGCAGTCCTATTTTTAAGCCTACAGATCAAGAACAGGAAGCCACCATTACAATTTCCCTTTGCGAAGTGCTTTCACAGCAAAAATTACAGCCGTTTCCAAGATTACACACGTTTGGTTTCTTTCAGTGGTGCAGGGGATACCACAAACATACATGAGGTTTATAACTTAAACAGTATTCTGGAGATACAGGCCCCCTTGCAACCAAAGTGTAATTCTGTTTTGTTTCTCCAAGACTATCTCTAGCCAGTGGACGTTTTGTATAAACCAAGATTTGCTGAAGGGAGCAGTGGAGCTTTCAGTGGATGTGTCACTTAAGAGGACTGATGTAGCATTCAAAATTTCAGATTACTATTCAAAAGTCTTTAAGAGAAGATATTTGACACTTCATGACTAATACATAAGGTTACTGGAAAGACTTAACACAGATAAATGGTTTCATGAGAGAATCAGCAGAGCATCAGCCAGTAGAAAGACACTGCACCAAGTTACACTGACGAATCTGAAATATGTTGGTTTCATTCAAATACTATGACAGGCAATGGTATAAAATACAAGTTGGTGAACCAGCCCAGATCTACCATCAAGGCTGTATGCCCAGATCTACAGAGAATACTAGTGTTTAATTTTGATTCATTAAGTTTTGACTTAATAATTAACAGCAAAAAAATGCCAACAAAAGTATAATTTGTATTCCCCAGCTGCAGCTTCCATTACATCAACTTCAGCTGAGGTCAAGTGGGCAGAATAAATCTTACTACATGCTACAAAGCACATACATCAGCTAAAAGGCTGCACTTTGGAAATAATGGGATGGGAGTCCTACTCCCCTTCAAGATGAAAATGGCATAAAGGCACCTCTGTTCTTAGCATGTGACAGCCAGAGATCTGTTGATAGTTCAATTAGCCAACTTCACTTATATTTCTTTACCTCTAATTTGCAGCTCAAAGATAACCTTCCCCAGCTGAACTGAAGGACA